AATCAGGAAAGCAAGAGCCCACACTCGCCAGAGGTAGCAGCGGCTGTGGGGGCTCTGGGGCCAAGTGGCAGAGCCCCCCCCACTGCCCCTGCTCCCTTTTCTCCAGTCCTGCCCCCAATGACTGCCCTGCCTGGCCTCAGCATGCCGGCAATTAAAGCCCTGCACTCACTGGCTGCAGGAGCGGCAATTGGGGCCTCTGGGCACTTGTGGCAGAGCTACCCTGCACAGTGTGGGGGCAGCAGGGATCACCCTCCCTTCCCACCTGGTACCTGCGTGGTAGCTGCCCCATGGCGTGGGTGCAGCGTGGCTTGGCAGGGCACCACACACTGTCTGGGAGCTGGGGCTGAGCGCTGCCAGGCTTTGGCTGACACATGGAGCCGCCCTAGCTCCCAGACAGCACACATTGCCCTGCTGAGCCGCACTGCACCCACGCCATGGGACAGCTGCCACATGGGTGGTGGGCAGGGGACCAATTCCCTGCTGCCCCTCACTGCCCCGCGCTGTGCAGGGAGTCTCTGCCATGAGCGCCCAGAGGCCCTGATCCCCTGCTGCTGCAGCTGGTGAGTGTGGGACTTAGTTTTTTTAATTGCCAGGATGTTTGGGGTCAGGCGGGGGGGCAGAAATAGGGGAGCAGGGGATGTACGGGGGGCTCTACCACGTGGCCCCAGAGCCCCCACAGCCACTGCTACCTTCAGTGAGTCCAGGCCTTTTTTAAATTTTTTTTAAGTGCTGGGGCCAGGCGGGGGATGGGGCTGGGCAGGGCAGCCACGGGAGCTTCTCTTGCGCCTCCCCCCACCCAGGGAGAAGCAGGCACAGCTGGAGGTGCCACAAGAGAACCTGCAGCCACCCAGCTGTGCCTGCCTCTCCCTGGCCAATCTGAATCTCTCGGAATCTTTTCCAAATCGATTCGGAGGCTTCAGATTCGATTTGGACCTTTTAATAGGTTTCCTGATTTGATTTGGATTCGGAGATTCAGCTGAGGCTGAATCGCCTTCGAATTTAACTGAAGCTTTGCATAGCCCTAAATAGTAGCTTCAGCTCATAGCTGGAGTAGGGTGGGGGAGGAGAGCCCTCAAGTGTCCAGTTCTGTGCTGCGCCCCCCCCCCCCCCTCGCCCCCATGCTTGCATCAACCAGCAGGGACTGGGTTCTTTCTTCCAGTACCTGCTCCCTGCTGGTGGGGGACTCCTTCGGGCTGAAGGAAGACCCTGGGCACTGCTACCCTTGTCCCCAGCTGAGCCTGGCTCCCTGCACAGCTTCTTCTAGCGCCTCTGAGCTGGGATGGGGCAGGAGCAGCTCTGGGGATCCGCCTATATTCCCAGCTGACCCAGACAGCAGTGGTGGTGGTGACATGCACCGGATGCCTTCCTGGCTCCCTGGTGTCCCCCACCAGCCTGGGGGTTCCAGCCAATCCTTTCCCCCATCCTCCCATGGCCCAAGGAGCCATGTACTGCATCTTCCTTTAAGAAATCCTAGATTTGCCTCTGGTGTTATGTGCCTTAAATTGCATTTTTTTTCCATCCGTTCTCCTTGTAGTTTAGAATAATCCATGTTGAGAGTTGGCAAAGATACTGGCAAACCCACCTGGTCTTTGGAGTCTAATTCATTCCCCACCCCCTCCCCCCAAGTTAGTGATAATATTCCCTTGAGTAGCACTGAAGCTTAGTCAGACCTTTTATTTAACACTGATCAAAGTACCATATTTTCTTGCATCCCCTCCTCTCCCCCCGCCTCACAAAAGACAACATGCACGTTGTTTTGAGACCATGAAGAAGAAAAGATTTTTCTAGAGTCGTGGCTAAATGCAGACTTCATTCATGGAACAGAGACCAAATCTACTGTTCAGTGTCATTAGCTTTTTGCAGCTGAAGCTTTAACCCTGTCACAGATGCTGCTGAATTGGGAGAAATGTGCATGTGGGATGCAAGTAAATATAGTAAGGTACTCTGCAGGTTTACAACTGGGATTTGTTTTTAGTTTATAAAAACATTTTGGTGTTAAACACCAATCCATTGAAGTTTTGTTGTGCTGTCTAGGATTACTTCAACCCAAAAAATCCTTTCGTAGTTTTATTATTGTTGCATTTATTTTTCTATATACCATAAAAGTCTCTAAACTTTTCATGTTACAACTTAATTTATGATGATGTAGTGATTTTGTTGTTGTTGTTATTGTTAGCATAACTAAGTTTGTGAAAGGAGACTTATAACCCTTCCTTAAAATAGGATTTAGCTACCAGTGCTCCCCTGAAGTTATAGACTTAGAACACAAATTATTTATAGTTCCAGTTTAGAAAAATTGGATGGCTGTAGAACTTGATGCCTTCACTCAAATATCTAGTAATTCTGGCTGAAAGTAATATTCTTGATGATGCAGTGTCATAGAGTTATCCAGCTCTTGCGTTGCAGGAACTGGGCTGTTCTTGGCATGCAGACCTGGTGGTTGTCTTATGTGCTAATTACTACTTTAGTTTCCAAGCTATTAAATCTCATAATATAATTGCACTCTCAAGCAAGGTATTGCATGTCATGTTTGTTTCTACATGAATAGGGTGTGTAAATATTTAATTCTAATACAATCTTGAAAGGAATGTACAGACTTTACTCACTCACATTTGCTGTGTTGTGCCATCCAATCAAAACAAAAGACAAGGCTGAATGTTCCCTTGTACCTGAGGGTTTTATTTGGCATGAAACAGATTAGTAGTACTAGACTGAAGAACCTCACCTTGGTTTTTGAAAGCTTGTATTTTATAAAAGTTTTTAAAGTTTATAAAAGCCATCCCATTATAAAACATGGGGAATGCAGTAGTTTGTTGAGAATTAAGGATCTGTATAATTTTGTGGCTACTCCCTCCTTTCCACCTAAAAAGCTGTGATTTGATTTATTATTTAGGACTAAAAACCCTTCCCCAGTTACAGAAAGAATTAAAACAATAATGATGAAAGAAAAGTCAGCAGCAGGGAGGAAAAGATATGTCACTAGTCAGCAGTTTGTTACAACAGATTTTATTTGCAGAAAATAAAACATAAGAGCTACACAGCTCTGTGCATGTTGCAAGTTCTTAATATTTTTTTCTATTGAAATGTACTAGTGAGAAGCATAGGGCAGGCTAATGGGTGTGCCTGTCATGAGAGCCACAAGTATTTAATGGCTGGAGCCTTGTGTGACTAAAATGCGAATTAAAAACAGTCATGTTTTAAACAGAAGGCAGCCTATTCTAGCAGGCACAACCATGTTTTTGCCACTCCACTACAAATGAGACTGCTCTAACAGAATACTTTTCTAATGAAATGTTCTGACAGAGATTCAGTTTAAAAAGCTGGCATACTGCTAGAGGCAGAATATGTGAAATGTTTTGAAGGGGGGGGTGTCATAGAACAAAAATTAATACTTATGTTTTTATATCCATTAGGATTCTGCAATACTTTTATATGTATTTACTAGGAGAGATGAGAGCTTTGTTCCTTTACTTTTTTACTTTGTTTGGTAAATAATTTATTTGGATTATTTTAAGCTTTATTCTATAGCTTGCTACTATTTCAGTGGCTGGTTGTTTTGTTTTGGTTTTTTTCAAATTGGAAAGAAGCAAACTTTTTTTTTTTTCCTAATGGAGAACCTCATAAGCAAGCATTGCATTTTAAGTTGGTCTTAAGAGCCACCTCATTTCCCATTTTACCATCACAGTTGTAACTACTTATATGAAAAAATAGTAATAGGAGATTTGCTTTATTTAATTAATTAATTATTTATTTATTTTAGCTGCATCTAATGCATGTTTTGGTTTTTGGTCTTTTTTGATAGTTTGTTTTGTTTTCCTCTTCATTCCAGGCACAAACCGGGACAACCTTCCCTTCTGTAGATAGATAGGTTCTGCCCTGTCTCCGTGTCCTGGTTTTTCCCCTCTTGTTTGTAGTTCTGGATATCGAATTCTTCCATAAACAGAACAACTACCCAGTCCTGTTTCTCCTTGTTTCTTTGACTGTTTCTTCCTACTGATGGTTGTCATTCTTGATATTAGCTTCTGTATCTCCTCTTCATTGCCAGCTGTTCTTACAGGTCTGCTAGCTCTTCAAACAGTTCCTGAAGAGACCATTCTTCCTTAACTTCAGGCCTTCTAGAAACCATCAGCAAATACTCAGAGGACTTCAGTTTGGGACTTGTAGTTCTAAAGACAGATTATTTTTCCAAAGTACTGTTTATCTTCAACATTGATTTATACAAAGGGCACTTAGTAGTTTGTAGGATTGAGCCAGAGAGCTAGGAAACTGCAGGCTTCTGAACAGGGTATGCCACTTCTCACTGCCCTGGGAAAAAGAATCATACATATTTATATGTTAGGGTATTGACACTGTCTCAGAGGGAAAACTATAAAACATGGTGAATCGCACTTTCACAATGATATTTCACCATAAAAATAGCAACGGAAACTGTTGCCCTTACAAAGTAAGCACGGGAAGCTCACTACAATATTCTATACTTTCAAGAAAAAAAATATTAATACTCTAATTGATAATACTTGTTCACAAGACTTAAGAAAAAGCATTGACTGTATTATTTGGCTGAATTTGTTTTCTTTTTCTCTAGGGTACCATCATGACGGCTGAAGAAACTGTTAATGTAAAGGAGGCTGAAATAATTAAACTAATCTTGGATTTCTTGAACTCGAGGAAACTTCATATCAGCATGCTGGCCCTTGAGAAAGAAAGTGGAGTCATTAATGGCCTGTTCTCAGATGATATGCTTTTTCTGAGGTAGGAGTTTGTATGTCATTGGTAAAATATAACTTTAACGGGTTGTATGACTGGTCATATATTTACTAGCCCAAACAAATGACAGTTGACTGGCATGTAAACTTTTAGTCATCTTTGCCATAATTTTTTCACTTCTTAAGTATTATTTTTCCACTGTAATGTTCATATGTATGGCATTTAAGTATTGGGATATCAGTGGAGTTCTAAAATAAGATGATGCATTTATGAAAAACATCAAAATATTTTATTTAGATAATGATCTGGTAAATATAGATATATCTGTACAGTGCAGTGCAGGGTTGCAACTGTCCATAAACTTATAGACCATCCAAAAAAAGACTAAAAATGCTTGCGTGTAAAGTCCATAAAAGAAATTGAGCCATGTGATTAAAATTTAAAAAGGGGGAAAAATCCCAGCAAGCTTGGTTGAAGAACTGTCATTGGGGTGAAGCTGGATGAAGCACTGATGGACAGGCAGAGCAGAGCAGTGCCACCTAGTTTCTGAGTGAGAGTACAGCTTGGGACCCTGCAGGGAGCTCTGTCAGGGCCTTGTGGCCCATGGGAGCCTGTGAAGCCTCCTCCCACCCCTGCATATGTTGCCACTGCATAGGGTCAGCTGTTCATCTCTAAAGCAGGCAGGGCTACACAACCGCAGGCAGTCTGAGGCACCAGAAGGGACGGGGAGCAAGGTGAAGCTGTAGGGCTAGGAAGGGGGAGAGGCAGTGTGTGGGGATCCATGGCAGGACAGGGAGAGTGGGGCTGGAGAAGGTAAAGTTCAGTGGTGGGCTGGGGTGAGGGCAGCATAATGAGGGATGTGGTTGGGCATCAGGGTATGGGGATGAACTGGTTGTCAGTAAATAGTTTTATAGATCGTCAATATTTTTTTTTTCTCTGTTTGGCAATGCTGATGCAGTGCCACACAGACTGTGGCATTGGGAGTTAATTAGTATGGGTACAATGCCATGCTGCCATAGCTGTACTGCTTCCAGTACTGAAGCGTGAGTATCTCTGCATGGCTCTCTACTTTACTTTATACTGTGTAGTCATGGTCTGTGAAGAGAAGTGGTTTCTAAAACCTTAGGGTTTTCCCTAAGGTGGTTTCCAAAAGTTGCTCAGATTTCTACTAATATCAATCTATGAAAGTGGACTCTGCTCATCAAGACAAAGCTTGGTTGCCTGAGTGGAGCTGACAGTCAGTCAGTAATATTCTGAAAAGGGAAGGATGATTTGATGTATTCATTTAGGTGATAGTACTTTACAATGAATGGAGTTAAGCGGTTTCTTTAGTGATAAGGAAGGCCTTTTTGGGGGAGGGCAAGGAGTGACAGATGAGATTACCAACTAATTAATTATCTTTGACAGATAAAAATATCTATTAATCTGTAGCTGAATAGATACTCCAGCCTCCATTTTACTGTAGTAGCTTCCTCTGGGCTGTCTACAAGTTTTAACATGGTTTTTACATTTATGAAAGTGGCAACTGTTGATCCTGGATCATGGTGTATACATGAACACCTGGATCATGGTGTATGCATGAGGGCCACACCAGACCATCGATGCATAAGCCTGAGCAGGAATTTTTTTGGAGGAGTGGAGGCTACCCAGACCTTCCATCCTCCGTTTGGGCTACTGAGATGAATCCAAAGACCAAACTGAGTCCAGATGTTTGGCGTCTCCATGGCTGTAGTTGTATAAGTGTCTGGGAATCAAACCCAGGTCTCCTGTATGGTAGACAAGGATTCTAGAAGGAACTTAGTTTACCAGGAGCATTGGAAACTAGGCAATATAGCTATATTTAAACAACATTAACAGTGATTATTTAATTCAATCTTACAACATTTTTGAGCTCGCCTCACCCCCACCCAATTATGTAGGTATTGTAGGTGTTTGGCACACATTTCCAAAGCTGAGTAAGTGTGAAGATAGGATTGTTACATAAATTAACAAATTCAAGATTGAGGCTCTTCACCCTTCATTTGTTTTTTGTTTAGTTATTAGAGGAGTTTTAATTTGAAAGTATGGCTACACTAACAATTTATCTTGAGGTAAGCTGTAGTGGGAAGGTGAAGCAAATTGTTACGTTGTAGGTGTTAGCATGCATGCTTTTATCCTGTAGTAAATATAAAGTGTCCACTGTCACTGAGAGGCAAGTTAACTCAAGTTTCCTGTGGCTAAACAGGTTCATAGATTTTTATAGACATGGGGAGGCTGGAAGGGACCTCATGATATTGAGTCCAGCCATAGGCAAGAAGTTAGCTGGGATCAAGTGACCCCAGCAAGAAATACATGCACATGTTCTTTTGAAAGAGTCCAGAGTAGATGCCTGCACCACCTCGGTGTGGGGGGGAGTTTGTTCCAGACCCTGGACACTCGCACCGTAAAGAACTTTTTTTTCTTATGTCTAGTCTAAATCAGCTCTCCTGGAGTTTATGGCTGTTAGACCTTGTTATCCCTTGGGGAGCTCTGGTGAACAGCTATTCTCCCAGGTCCTGATACGCCCCTCTTATATAATTGCAGGCTGCCACCAAGTTCCCCCATGAGCCTTCTCTTTTCCAGACTGAAGAGTCCCAAGTTCCTCAGCCTCTCTTCATCTGCCCAGCACTCCAGGCCTTGGATCATATGAGTGGCTCTCCTCTGGACTCTCTCAAGCTTCTCCACATCCCTCCTGAAGTGGGTGGGCCCAATAGTGGACGCAGTACTCCAGCTGTAGTCTTACCAGGGCCGAGTAAAACAGGAGGATGACTTCCCTGGTTTTGCTTGAGATACATCAGTGGTTTGGTTTGCCAGAGTTTGGTTTGCCTTGCCAGCCACAGCATTGCATTGGTGGCTCATATTCATCTTGTAGTCAATTAAGACCTCCAAGTCCTTTTCGGTTATGGTGCTAGGGAGCGTAGCACTGCTGAGCTTGTAAGTGTGTTGAAGGTTCTTCCTATCAAGGTGCAGCACCTTACACTTCTCTACATTGAAGGCAATCAGGTTTTGGTTGGCCCACCTTGAGAACGTGTCCAAGTTGGCCTGTATCCCCAGCCTGTTCTTCCATGTGACCGCCCTCCCCCATAACCCACAAACTTTGCCAGTTCGCATCTGACTCCTGAATCCAGATCATTAATGAAGATGTTAAAGAGTACTGGCCCAAGTACCGAGCCCTGAAGGACTCCACTGGTCACCCTGCACCAAGTTGATTTGCTTCCGTCAACTAGTACTCTTTGGGTCTGACCCCATAGCCAGTTACCTAGCCATCAGACCGTAAAATGATCCAGGCCACAGTTCTCCAGCTTAAGCATGAGGACACAATGGGGAACTAAGTCAAAGGCTTTCTTGAAATCCAGATATGACATCCACGTCATCTCCCTTGTCCAGGGCACACATTACCTGGTCATAGAAGGAGATGAGGTTGGTCACGCTAGACCTGCAAGTCACAAAGCCATGCTGGCTGGCATTCAGATGCTTGCCTTCCATTAGACTGGTGTTGATGGATCCCCTGACAATTTTTTCCAGGATTTTTCCAGACTGATCGGTCTGTAATTCTCTGGGTCATCCCTCCTCCCTTACTTTGAAGAAAGGGACCAAGTTGGCTCTTTTCTTGTCTTCCGGGACCTTGCTTGAGCCCCATGAATTTTCAAATATCTCTGCCAACCAGGATGCAGTGATGTCTGCTAGCTCCTTCTGGACTCTCGGGTGCATTCTGTCTGGGCCCATGGACTTGTGAATGTCCAGTTTCTCAAGGTGTTCCCTCACCTGATCCACACCAATTTGGGGCCTATCACCTGCTCCCAGAATGGTTTGTGTCCTTTCTGACAGTGTGATCCTCCTTGGAGGGTGAAAAACCAATGCAAAAAAGTCATTTAGGAGATTAGCCTTTTCTTGGGTGTTGGATATCAGTTGCCCCGTTGGATCTTTAAGGGGCCAAATGCTATCTTTGTTCTTTTTTCAACTTCCCACTTATCTGAAGAAGGACTTTTTGTTGTCCTTCATTCCCATAGCTAGCCTGAGTTCGGTTTGTGCCTTGGCTTTTCTGTACCACTCTCTACTGGTAGGTGCGGGCAAGTGCCGAGTAGTCCGCTTTGGTTATGCTCCCTGTTTTCCAACTGATCTAGGCTTCTCCTTTGAGTTTAATTAGGTCCAACAGTTCTGTGTTCAGCCAAGGGGGGCTTCCTTACCTGCTAACTGCATTTCTTGCGAGATGGAATGTCTTTTCCCTGTGCTTCTAGGATTGTTTTTGAGAGATGACCATTCCTCGTGTAATCCCTTTTCTAGAGGGGTATGGCTTCTAATTGCCTGACTGACCAATTCTCTGAGTTTGCAAAAGTCAGCCTTCCCAAAGTTAAGGACTTCTGTTGTACTGAGGGGTTTGCCTGCTCTTTGGTGAACTAAGAAGGTGACCATTTCATGGTCGCTGTCACCAAGCTTCCCCTCAATCCTCACATCGCTCACCAGGTCCTCCCCTTTGGTCAGGACCAGATCGAGCAATGCCTCTCCCCTAGCTGACCCATAGGCCTCCTATGTTAGGTAGAGGTCATCAGTGCAAGTGAGAAAGCTACGCGACCTGTCAGATTTGGCTGAGCACTCATCCCAAAAGATGTCAGGTGAGTTGAAGTCCCCCATGATGATCATGCATCGGGAGTGCACGGCCTCGACCAGTTCCCTATTGAATTCCCGATCTAGTTGGTGGGGAGGTCTATAGTAGACTCCTACAAGTATGTCACCCTCCTCATGTTCTCCTCGTATTTTGACCCAGAGGATCTCAAGGCATCCTTCCTGGTTAGAAAACTCAATCTTCAGGGAGGTAAACTGATCCTTGACGTAGAGAGCAACACCCCCACCCCTCTTTCCCACACAGTTTCTCCTATACAAGGTGTAAACCTCTAAAGCAACCAACCAATCATAGGTAGAGTCCCACCAAGTCTCTGTTATCTCTACAAGGTCATAGTCATTTTCACATAGGAGAAGGGCCAGTTCCTCATGCTTATTTCCCAAGCTCCTAGCGTTTGTGTACAGGCAGTTAAGTCTACCATGAGAAGCCCAATGCTTCCCTGAGGGGTGAAGCGGGACCTTTCCCTGAGCTGTTGCTAGAGTGGGTTACCTTGGGCAGCCCAAGGTATTGGTAATGCAGCTGACATGGCCTGGGCTAGAACTGTTAATAGACAGCCCGTCTCTCAGAGGTCTTAGTTTAAAGCCCTGTCAAGAAGGTCAGCCATTCTGGCCAAAAAGAGCTTCTTCCCTTTCCAGGTGAAGTGGAGGCCATCCCTTCCCAACAGTCCACTCTCTCTGAAGTGCGGACCGTGGTTGAAACCAAACCCCTTGCAATGGCACTGTCACTGGAGTCTTCTGTTTCACCAGGTGTAAATGGGCAGTTCCTGTGGAGTAGCTGACATGCTGTAATTTCACAACCTACCCTATCCCATGTTAACTCATTCATTCTGCCATACTTTAATCCACTTAACTCTACAAAAATTGCAAGCTTTTAAATGTAAAATGTTCCCCAAGTCTTTTTCTGTATAAAGGAATAGTGGTTATTTTGTCAGCACAGGAGGCCTATACTAGAACTGAATCCTTCGTTTTGGCCTTGCTTCTTAGTACAAGAAATGTGTCAACTTTTATTATCAGCTTTGTTGTAAAGCACTACATTCTTACAAAGATGGTTGTTCAGCTGTCCTATTTCAGATGACAGCATGTCATGAATAAATAAATACAATTGTAAAAGTGTAAAATGTCCAGCTAAACTGAGGGCCTGTTTCTTTTGTTATAGGCAGTTAATCCTGGATGGTCAGTGGGATGAGGTTCTTCAATTCATTCAACCTCTTGAGTGCATGGAAAAATTTGACAAGAAAAGGTAAGAAAGCTAGAATGTACGCTTAAATGCTTTATATTATTTATGGCGATATTAAAACAGGAGATTCCTAGAATGAGATGTTCAGAGGTTTAGAAAAATAAATTCTAACTGCAGAATCTGAGAACAACAAACTTTAAATCCCATAGAATTCGTGAAGTATTTTACCTGTCAAAATATTCTCCTATGAAACTTTGTATAGTTAAAATCTACCATTAAGAATGGTACAAAAAGTGAATTGTAAAATTGTTTGTTTTTCTTAGTCATATAAAACAGCAATGTTACTTATAAGTAACTTATAAGTTACTTAGTCTCTTTTCTTGAATAAGTATATCATTGTCTTCTCAACCTGCAAATACTGTAAAGTGTAGTATTTCTCATAGATTTCATAGACATTAGGGCTGGAAGGGACCTCGGAAGATCATCGAGTCCAGCCCTCTGCCCAAGGGGCAGGAAGTCAGTTGGTGTCATAAGACCCCAGCAAGATAAGCATCCAAATTTCTCTTGAAGGCGTTCAATGTGGGTGCTTGAACCACCTCCAACGGCAGGCTATTCCAGGCCTCGGGGGCTCAGACAGTAAAGAAGTTCTTCCTTATGTCCAGCCTGAAACGGTCTTGCAGTAGTTTATAACCGTTCGACCTTGTCATCCCTTGGGGCGCTTTGGTGAACAATAGTTTCCCCAGATCCTGGTGAACACCCCGGATAAACTTATAGGTGGCCATCAGATCACCCCTGAGCCTGCGCTTTTCCAGGCTGAAGAGCGCCACAGCTCTCAGCCTGTCGTTGTAAGGTCTGTTTTCCTGACCTCTGATCATGCACATGGCTCTTCTCTGAACTCTCTCAAGCTTCTCCACATCCTTTTTGAATTGAGGAGCCCAAAACTGGATGCAGTACTCCAGCTGTGGCCTCACCAAGGCCGAGTACAACAGGAGAATGACGTCCCAGGATTTACTTGAGAAGCATCTATGAATGCAAGCCAGCATTTTGCTCGCTTTACTAGCTGCAGCATTGCATTGAAGGCTTATGTTCATCTTGTGGTCAATCATGACCCCCAAGTCCCTTTCATCCATAGTGCTAGCCAGCGTAGCACTGCCGAGCCTATAAGGATGCTTCAGTTTTTTCCTCCCAAGGTGGAGAGCCTTGCATTTTTCAGCATTAAACACCATCAGGTTCATGTCCACCCATTTCCTGAACCTGTCAAGGTCAGCCTGGATCGCCCTCCTGTCCTCAGGTATGGATGCTTTACCCCAGAGTTTGGTATCGTCAGCAAACTTGGCTAGTCCGCTTCCGATTCCAATGTCCACATCATTAATGAAGATGTTGAACAATATAGGTCCAAGGACAGAGCCTTGGGGGACCCCACTGGTCACAGAGCACCATGATGATTGACTTTCATCAACAACCACCTTTTGGGTCCGACCACAGAGCCAATTCCCCAGCCAGCGGATCATGGTGAACCTGAGGCCACAGTTGGCCAGTTTTGCCAAGAAGTGATCATGGGATACCAAATCGAAGACTTTTTTTGAAGTCATGATGTATTACATCAATCTCTTCTCCCTTGTCCAGGTGATAGGTCACCTGGTCATAAAAGGAGATAAGATTGGTCAAGCAAGACCTACCCGCAACAAACCCGTGCTGGCTATCCCTCAGGATGTTGCTGTCAGCCAGTTCGTTAAGAATGGCTTCTTCGATAATCTTTTCTAAGACCTTCCCCAGGATAGAGGTCAGGCTGATGGGCCTGTAGTTTTGCCAGATCCACTTTCCTCCCTTTCTTGAAGATAGGCACCACATTGGCCTTCTTCCAGTCTTTGGGCACTTCACCAGAGTGCCAGGAGTTCTCAAAGATCCGTGGCAGGGGCTGGGCTATCTTGCTGGCCAGCTCCTTGAGTACCCTGGGGTGTAGATTGTCAGGGCCAGCTGACTTGAAGGTATCTAGCCTCTCAAGGTGTTCCTTCACGAGGTCAGCATTGATAGAGGGCAGGGAATCTCTCTCACCTGGGCATCCCTGTCCCATAATGGGCATAGGCATCCCGTGGGACTGATGAAAGACCGACACAAAGTACCCATTTAATAGGTTGGCTTTTTCCTGGGTATCGGTTGTCAGTTGTCCCATCTGGTTTGGCAGGGGTCCAATGTTGCCCTTGCTTTTCCTCCAGCTCCCCACATATCTGAAAAAGAACTTTTTATTGTCCTTGATACTTGTAGCTAGTTGGAGTTCAGCTGCAGCCTTGGCTTTCCTGGTTCATTCCCTGCAGGACCGGACCAGCGCAGAATATTCCTCCTTGGAGGTGGATCCCATCCTCCATCCTTTGTAGGCCTTTCTTTTTAGCTGCAGGAGGTCCGCTAGTTCCCTGGAGACCCAGGGGGGCTGCTGTGCCCTTTTGCTGCCTTTCCTCGGAGATGGAATAGCCTGAGCTTATGCATCGAGGATCGCTTCCTTAAGGAGCAACCACTTTTCCTGAACTCCCCTCCCCTTGTGGTCGTGGTCCCTTAGGGCCTCACCGGCAAGCCTTCTGAGCTTGTCAGAGTCAGCTTTCCTAAAGTCAAGGACTTCTGTATTGCTGACTGACTTGCCAGCTTTACGGCGGATGGTGAAGATGATCAGCTCGTGGTCACTGTCACTCAGCTTCCCATCAATCGATAGGTCGCTGATTAGGTCATCCCTGGTTGCCAGTACCAGGTTGAGCAGCGCTTTACCTCTTGTTGGCCCGTAGACTTCTTGAGTCAGATGGAGGTTATCCACGCATGAGAGGAAGGTTTGCGACTGCTCGGATTTAGCCGAGCGCTCTTCCCACGAGATGTCTGGGTAGACATCTAGAACTAATGAATTGGAAAAGACAACTTGTGCTAAGAACCAATTGTCTGGCTTGTTAAATTTTTGTTATTCCTATAGTTAATTAAAAAAATATTTTACAATGTCTTGTCTATTCTTGCTAACATGTTTAGCTGCTGCATCAAGGTTTCTAGCATTTCTGTTTTGTTTCTGTCCAGGTTTCGCTATATTATACTGAAGCAGAAATTTTTAGAAGCCTTATGTGTAAACAATGCAATGTCAGCAGAAGATGAGCCTCAGCACGTAAGATTTATTTATTACTTGTCTACAATTGTAAAATGCTTTAAAATACTGTGATTTGAAAGCATCATGGAAGTATATAGCATTATTACTGGTATGCAGCTTCAGAAACTTTCAGCTACATTTTTTCATGTACAAAACTAAAAGGGTGATGTTCTCAAAAGCACAGCTATAGTTGGAATAGCATCAGAAAGACTTGGGATAGATTTTGTTCCCATAATCTTAATAGTGCACCTCCAAATAGTGCCGTTCCAGTCCTGGACTTTACTGGATCCAGTGCAATTGGTGCTTTTTTAATACAAACAGATGCACAAAACTTATTGCATGCTTATGGACTGACAAAAGTCATCAAAGGTAAAAAGGTAGTTCCTAGCTCTACCAAGTACACAGTCTAGCACTCCCTAATAAAACAGTTTAGAATATGAAAAATACATTCACAGAAAACTGGGGTTGGAAGGGACCTCAGGAGGTTGCCTAGCCCAACCTCCTGCTCAAAGCAGGACCATCCCTAACTATATTATCCCAGCCAAGGCTTAATCTAGCCAGGTCTTAAAGCCTCCAAGGATGGAGATTCCATAGCCTCCCTGGCTAGCCTGTTGTAGTGCTTTACTACCCTCCTAGTGAGTTTTTCCTATTATCTAACCTAAACTTCCCTTGCTATAACTTGAGATCATTGCTCCTGATTCTGTCATCTGCCACCACTGAGTACAATCTAGCTCCATCCTCTTTGGAACCACCATTCAGGTAGTTGAAGACTGTTATTAACTCCCCTCTCATTTTCTCTTCTCCAGACTAAATAAGCCCAGTTCCCTCAGCCTGTCCTCATAAGCAGGGATCTGGGTTTTCCATTTTCCATGGAAAAATGTGGATTTTCTCCTTTCATAGATTTCTAGGGTTGGAAGGGCCCTGGTAGATCATCGGGTCTGACCCCCTACTCCAGGCAGGAAAGAGCATTGGGGTTAAGTAACCGCAGCCAGATGCCTGTCTAATCTCTTCTTGAACACCTCCAAGGCAGGGGAAAATACCACCTCCCTTGGAAGACCGTTCCATGTTTTGGCAACCCTTATTGTAAAGAATTTCTTCCTTATGTCCAATCTAAATCTATTCTCCTTCAGTTTGTGGCCGTTATTTCTGGTAACCCCAAGGGCTTCCTGGTAAACAGAGTGTCCCCTATTCCCTGCTGACCCACCCTGATGAGTTTGTAGGCAACCACAAGATCACCTCTCAGCCTTCTCTTGAGGAGACTGAAGAGATTTAGGTCCCTCAGTCTGTCTTCATAGGGTCTTACCTACAGGCCCTCAACCATATGAGTAGCCCTCCTCTGAACCCTCTCAAGGTTATCCACATCCCTCTTGAAATGCGGCACCCAAAACTGGATGCAGTTACCCATCTGCGGCCTCATGAATGCTGCATAGAGGAGAATTATCACTTCCCTAGATGTGCTTGTGATGCACCTGCTGATGCCAGAAAGAGTGCGGTTAGCCTTGCTTATTACCTCATCACGCTGGTGACTCATGTTCATTTTTGCATCAACCAGGACTCTGAGATCTCTTTCCACTGTTGTGATGCTCAGAATGGTACCCCCAGTCTATAGGTGTGTTGGAAATTCTTTCTCCCCAGGTGCAGCACCTTGTATTTATCCTTGTTAAATTGCATACTATTCTGATCAGCCCACTTTCCCAGTCTGTCCAAATCTGCCTGAATTTGCTCCCTGCCCCCCAGTGTGTTTACTATAACCCATAGTTTAGTGTCATCAGTGAATTTGAACAAGGTGCTTTCAACACCTTCATCCAAATCGCTGATGAAGATGTTAAACAGTACTGGTCCCAGGACAGCGCCTTGAGGGACATCACTGCCCACATCCCTCCAGGGAAAAACTGACCCAATCACCTCCACTGTCCAGGTGCATCCCATAAGCCAGTTTTTCACCTACCTTACTGTAAGAAAATCCATCTCGCAGCTACTCAGTTTGCTTGTAAGAATTGGGTGCGACACTGTGTCAAAAGCCTTTTTAAAATCCAGGTAAATAATGTCTACTTCCGCTCCTGCATTTAAGCACTTTGTGACCTGGTCATAAAAAGAGCCCAGGTTAGTCAGGCAGGATCTGCCTGCTATAAACCCATGCTGGTTGTCCCTTACCACTGAGTTACCTGCTAGCCCCCTGCAAATGTGATCCTTTATGATTTTTTTTCTAAGGTCTTGCCAAGAATAGAGGTGAGAATGGAGAAAAACATGAATTTTCCCCCTTTTAAAGGAGAGAACTGCAGGCAACAGTGGGTTTTCCCCTTGCAGGCTGGCAGCATTCCAGCCTGCAAGGAGCTGCTGGGGTTGCAAGTGGAGGGTAGTCAGGCAAAGGGTGCCATGTGTGTGCGTGCACATGTATGTGGCATCCAGGCAGTGGTGGAGAGCAACTCCCACAGCTCCTTCAAGGTAAGTCTGGGGGGGCGAGGGGTGGGTCCAGTCCACATGTTGATGGGTGGGGGCATGGAAGGGAAATAGGCCACACATAGAGGGGAGGAAGCACAGCATTGGGGTTGGGAGAAAAAGGGGCATGTGCCCCCCAAGATTTCTGTTTCTACAGCAGGGCACAGTGTTGCAGTGGTGCTGGATCAGCTGTGGCCAGGAGCTATCTCCACGGCACAGTGTGGGGACCCAGTGCAGGAGGGAGCGTCACACTGCTATAGCCACCATGGTGAGCAACCCGCTGCCTTCCCAGCAGCAGCAGGAGGTACAACTCTGCACTGCTGCCCCTACCATGCCTCACCATGGTGGGGTGGCACTCCCTCCGGTGCCAGGTTCCCCCACTGGGCCAGAGTGGTGGCTCCTGCCCAGAGCTGGTCTGGCCCTACTGCAGCCCCATGCCCCACGGTGGGCACAGAAATCTTGGCAGGGATATCCCACCCATCTGTCACCTGTGCCCCCCATGCCTTCCCTACCCACCTATTCTCTTCCTCACACACTAGGGACGGGGAGCAGCGGGTCGCGTGTGAGGGGCACCAGCAGGGCTGAGAGGGACTGTGGGTCGGGAGTGAGGGGCACTGGTAGGGCTGCAGGGCTGTGGGTTTGGAGTGAGGAGCACCAGCATATTGGGGCTGCTCAGCACCACAAAGTAGCGGGGCGGGGGGGCAGCCACAGCTGGACCCGTGTCCTGGTGGGTAAAGGGGACAGAGGGAGCTCTTTTTTTTTTTTTTTTCCCCCTGATTTTTTTTTAAAAAGCCCCAAAATCAAATACCAAATTTTATAGGTATTTAGATTTTATCTTATTCTAATGATTGAGGCACTGGTAGGCTTCCAAATTGCTTTAACGTTGTAAATATGTCAATAAAACATTGTGTTCAACTGATACCTATATGTATTTACTGGCATTTCATTTTTAATTATAGAGAAATGCAGATTTTGGGGGTTTTAATCGGAGAACTTGCTTTTTTTTTATGAGCAGAAATCCTGGTTTTCTCTGTTAAAGTCATGTGTCCCAGTCCAGTGATTTATTTAGTGATCTGTTGGGTTTTTTTAATATATATTTTTAGGTTTAATCTCATTTTTAAAGGATATTTGATTCCTGTATATGTGTCCTGATACAAATATCATGACCCATTTATTATATTTTCAAAGTAAGACCTTATTTTATTTTGTCATTTTAAATTGTTCACTGCACTTTTCCTGTTGTTGCTTTTCTGGACAAAAACTCAGTGTTGGTCCTGTTTCTTTACTGCTAAGGGAATAAATGTGTCACAGAGGACTGATTTCGCTGAATGCATTGGCTGATTCGATTAGCCTCAGTCAACTGATACATAACTTATTCATGAAACCCTGTCTTGGTTTGCTCTGTGGATTAAGTTCTGAATGAGGTTTTTTAGTGAGGAAAAATGGTAATCCAAGTTGCAGTACGCCAAAGCTTATAGACTAAGACCCATTCATTTATTTTGAAGGGGTTTTTTCCCCTTTACACTGGTATTATAGGAACATTAAATTGCTACTAAAAAGCTTTATGAATTTCTTAAGTATATGTTTGAGACAAATGACTAATTGCCCGAATGAGGTGTGGGAGGGGAGGAATCTGTAACTATTTCTCTATATCTCATTGAGCATATAGTGCGCTAAATATATCCTGTTTGTTCAAATCTAAGATGTCCCTGACTTTAAGATGACCCCGCAATAATTAGACCCTGCATATAGAAAGTTGTTGTTGTTGTTGTTGTTGTTTTCCATATATAGAATCTATTTACTGGGGGGGGGTCATCTTTTAATTCATACCCCCATTGCTGCAGGGGTGCAGGCAGTGGGGGGCAGATGGTATGGGGAGATTTGAACACCTTGCCCCCTGCCTGTCCCCCACCCCCCAATTCTCCCCCTTACCCTTGCTCCATGGTGGCATACTCTTGTCCCCATTCTAGCCTAGAGCACTGAAAATGGTTCACAGTCCTGCCCTCTGAGCATCTGTGCAGGCTGCATGCTGCTGCTACAGGGCCAGGCTGAGGCTGTACTTCAGTGTCCCAGGTTACAGCATGGATGGAACCTGGCATCGCAGAGCATAGGTAAGGCAGGGAGGAAGAGGGGTGGGCAGGGGAGCAGAGGCTCTAGGGAGGGAGAAGGCAAGGGGCAGGGGGCAGGCAGTAGCTGTGGCCAGGGCCATCCATAGGGTATGGCCCTGTGTTTTGGGGGGGTCCTGCAGAGCCGGGCTGAATGGCTGCGGCCCACCGTGGAGGGCCTGCCTGGGGGCGGCAGCG